CATTCACCTTAACAGGCGTCGAAGGTGCGATAACTTAGCGACATATTGCATCTGTTTTCCCGAAAGGTCTGCCTTACTGATGAAAAACATGTTCCATCCGACTTCAAAGAAGAAGCGGGTAAAAAATTCCAACTATGTACTGATAGTTTTTATATTTGCAAATCCCATATTCTCGACCAGCTTAAAATGTTTCAAGGTAACCCAAGTCACCAAACTAGCACCTCGCGTAACTGCTGCTTTCTTCGATAATCCTGTTCCATGCATCAAAGTCCCACCCTGTGATACCCAGATCTTTTATGGTAGCTATGAGGACTGGCCATCGTTTCGTGGTGTGTTCACGGCCGCATACCTCAATCAACCCAAGCTCACCCCTGCTCAAAAATTGTATCACTTACGGAATAAGACTCACGGAAAGGCTGGTAGCATTGTCAAGCATTACAAATTATGCGATGAAAACTTTTCCCTAGCTTGGGATGCTTTAAGAGCTCGTTTTGAGAACAGGCGCATTTTAATCGACAAGCAACTTAAACTGCTATTTAACCTTAACTCAGCTAGTTCGGAAACAGCGAAGCAATCCAGAAAATTCAAAATACAATCAATGATTGCCTCTCGTGCCTTAAATCCCAAGGGGTTTCCGTGAATGACTGGGACCCTATACTTATATATTTATGCTCGACGAAGCTACCTGAGGAGACTCTAGCATTGTGGGTACAGTCCCCCAAATCCAGGGAAGACCTGCCTAACTGGGCCCAAATGGTTGAGTTCCTTACCAGTCGGTATGAAGTAGTTGAACGTTTGCACAGCTATAAAACCACAAAGGCACGAAGTTCTCTCCCCCAAAAAACATCAGCGAAGGTTCAGTCTTACCATTCACAGGAAAAGTTAGTAGCCAAATGCAAATTATGCAGTAACAACCATCCCGAGTTTCGAAAGCTCTCTGCTCACGAACGCAACAAGTTCGTCGAACAAAATAATTACTGTTCCAACTGTTTGGCCTACAACCACATTCTCAACAATTGCCAAAGCACGTTTCGATGTCTTCACTGTAAAAAGGCTCATCACACAATGTTGCATATCAAACCAATTAGTAAACCTGAAGCTAACGCACCGGTTAAGAAACCAACGACTCAACAATCCCTGAATTTCACATCTCTGCCGCATACCCAATCTCTCGAACCTTCCTCCAGTCACACAACACATCCCATTTTTAATATAACTGAAGGCACTTACGAGGACTCTCCCACATCCTCGGCTGAAAGTTATCCCCCCGTTCAAGCGAATTTTTCGACGAACAATGAGAAGACGCTTCTTCCCATAGCCCAAGTGCATATCAAGCACATGGGCACTCTCTTTACCGTAAGAGCTTTAATAGACCAAGGCTCCCAAAAATCATTCGTGTCAGAAAAGTCTCAATGACGTCTGCAGCTTCCTACCTATCGAGAAAATTTCTCAATCACCGGAATGGGCGGGACTATCGTTGAAAATGCCAACGGAGTTTGCCAACTTACCCTATTCTACAAATGTTGCAACATTAGCATAAACACTAAGACCATTGTCCTTAAAAAAACACCAGCTTTCTACCATCATTCCAACTTCATAAACCAAATCTCTCAGAAATTAAGGACCTAGATTTTGAGGATACCTATTTCTATACCCCCGGTCCAATTGACCTAGTTATAGGTAGTGACCTGATACCACAAATGATAGCTCAAAATACGATTTTT